CTCTACACAACTAATTTCACTGCTCCGGTAAGAGTTTGAACTCGCAGTATCCGAATTGACAGGACGATAAACAATAGAGCACATCAACATCCAAATCTCTAAGCTAAGCCGCCTCTCTGACGGGTTTGACGCACGTATCACATAATGGCAAGAACGCACGTATCACAGAATAGCACGCACGCACCCACCACAGGATAGCACTAACGCAGGCACACAATACAAAATAGCACAGACGAACGGACTACAGAATAGCACAGACGAACGGACTACAGAATAGCACGCACGCACACACGTATCACAGAATAGCACGCACGCCCACACGCATCACAGAATAACACGTACCGCAAACAGCATTACAGAACAGCACGCACGGACACACCACAGAATAACACGTACCACAGAACAGCATCACATAATAGCACGTACCGCAGAACAGCATCAGATAATAGCACGCACGCACACACCACAGAATAACACGTACCACAGAACAATGAAAACATCATCACAGAATAGCACGCACGCACGCACACACCACAGAATAACACGTATCACAGAATAGCACGCACGGATACACCACAAAATAATACATACCACAGAACAGCATCACAGAATAACACGTACCACAGAACAGCGTGTGATACGCACGGACGGACGCACCACAAAGCAACACGAACGCGCCCTGCACATAGTATCACGCACACACGTACACATGCACGCACACGCCACATAGTAGCACGCGCACACCATATAATAAATAATACGCACGCACACGCGCACTCACACACGCACTCACACACACGTGCGTACCACAGAATAACACACACGCACCCACGCACGCCCACACAACAGAATAGCACGCAAGCTTGTACCACAGCGTATCAAGCACACACGCCCCATAGAATAGCACGTACGCACCCACCACAGAATATAATGCACGCACTCAACACAGAACAGCACACACGCACGCACCACAGAAAACAGTCACGTACGCACCGCGTCGCGTCGCGTGTTCCGCACCGCGTTACGTAACCGCGTTAAGCACCGCGTTCCAGAAAAAAACGTTCACAACGCGAATCACGTTTTCGTATTGACTGCCATCGTGTAACACGTTCGTGCGTTCAAGTGCATCTTTAAGCTAAATGGTGTACTAGAATAACAATCATCAATACAAGTATACACGTCTAAGCGCGTATAATGGTCATTTAATCATGTAACAAATTATCATGATAATAGTGGGAGGGAAAAGTGTGATTAGATAGATGCTGGGAGTTCAGAGGAGTTACTGGGAGGGAGAGAGATGCACGGGGCACTATTACTATCTATAATTACGAATATATTGTAATATATCACATGAACAAATAAATCAGCCTCCCCCATCCTAACTGCTGCATGATTGTTCAAAGAACGTTCTCCGATGAACAACTAATAGTTTTCCCGGCGTTGTGGGCTGATCCTACCACATACAGTTAAAGCTCACGTATTATTGTGGTAGCAGATCTACGAGTCAGGCAAGGCAGCTAGCGTGGCATTCTGTGGCATAAAATCTAAGGTACCGTACCAGGTATACGTAGTAGATTCACTTGTCGCTTGTGCGCAAGCATGAACAGTCTGGGCCTCGTGCACAAGCACAGAATCAGGGGCCCGTTGCCAGAAACAAGATTGGTCTTAACATTAGTCTTAACATTAACTTTTTCTCCTAGACTGTTGACAGAAACGCTGCGAAGTTACCCAAAGAAAAAATCGTAGCAGATTTCCTCATAACAATACGAAACAAAGTGCTGTCGACGGTCTACGAGAAAATGTTAGTGTTAAGACTAATGTTAAGACTAATTTTGTTTCTGACAACGGGCTCCAGGATGTCAGTGGCCACGAGGACATCGGGCTATCCGATAGGTAGCCACCCCAGAGTTCGCCATACGCGTGTATCCGAGCTCTGTGCGGGCGCTCTAGGCATGTGAATTTATGCGGACGTGTACGAGGGGCCGTTGCCAGAAAGAAATTGCGCGGCCATTTCGTCACTGTGGGTATAACGTGCTTTCAGAAAGACTTCTTTGTCATCTATCCACAGCAAATCACGCACCATCCACAGAGTGGAGCACATGCGCCCAACGACCACAGAATGGACCTCACCAACCCACGCGTGTAGTATTCACTTCATATCGATAAAAAGTCCTTATATCTATATAATAACGATGAACTCGGCGGCGATTGAGTGGACACACTAGGCGATTTCAGGGCGATTTCATCGCCCGATTTTATCGCCCGATTTAATCGCCTAGTGTGTCCACTACACACTCTACACGCTTCTAACTGTCATGCCCGCTTTGATTTAAGCGTCAATATACGCGAATGCAGGTGAACTACTCAGTTATGTTTCCACAATTTTATCGAATTAAACGAGTATGCATAATTTATGATCTTTGATCGCTACGATATATATATATGTGAAATTAATAAAATTGCGTAACACGTACCTATAGCTATGGCATTTAGATTTTGACTTGGCATATGACATACTAAATAAACCAGGCCCTATAGTGTTTTATAAGTTGACGGCAGATAGTCCCGCTGTTTACTCATGAATAAACCTCACCGACATCGTCCAGCATTCATTTATTTACCTGACTAAAGTACATGTAAACATACGCGCGCGGAAACCGACCAATCTCTCAATAATGCCGTCACGATGGCGGCCATGGTGCTGTTTTGCCATTATCTGGCAGAAATATGTGCAATGTATGCGTCACAATGTAAATAAATGCCCCGCGTACACAACATACGTGGTCCTACGCTGCCGTGACAGCACTGGTGGGAAGGATTAAGGTTAAACTACGCAGACAATTCTTGTTTCATACCCGCGCCGACTTGCCGAATCGAAAACTTCATGCATCACAGGGTGTTTCGGCTATTGTCCTCGTTTGTGCCGTTAGATAGCGGCTAGCATCGCTACCGCCTTGCCCTCCATTTGTGCGGATATATACTCTTGGCGTAAGGTGTGGAAAGCGTGCACGCATGTGATGTTGTGATTACCGTATAACACGTACAGGTGACCAGTGAAATATCCGTTCGACAGTGCATTATATCCAATCGGGCTTTGCCTCTATACTGTTTTCCGTATAGACTAGGTAAGTACAAATTTCCAAAAAACTACCCTCTTTCCCTATTGCCCATTCATACTTTATCGCTTTCTCTCTCTCATGCGTTCTTTTTTCCTTTTTTCCTTGTCCCTTTACTTCTCTGTTCCATTCGTGTTTCCTTCTCCGTCCCCTTTCTCTCTTCCCCTTCTCTCGCTCTACTCTCTGTTCTCGTTTCAAGTTGTGCTCAATTCACTTTTATTATATTCGCCGTTTCTGGCAGTCTTCTAGCTCATTATGTTCTAGCCACCAATGTAATTATGCCTCCAATCATGATCCAGTATCTTCTCACCCATCCATCTATCGATTTGTTTGTCCATCCGTCCGTCCGCCTATCCATCCAATTATCAATTTACCCATCCATCTATGCATGCGCGCGTCCTAGCTTCCTTCCATCTATTCATCCATCCATCCATCCATCCATCCATCCATCCATCCATCCATCCATCCATCCATCCATCCATCCATCCATATCCAATACCATCGCATCATGCCGATCCACGCATACCATCCATGCCATACCGATGACCATCCATGCGCATTGCCATCCATATCCTATGCCATGCCAGTCCATCCATCCATGCCATTGCATCCATTCATCCATGGTGCATCCATTAACAATCGGCATTATCATCCATCCATTACCATCCATCCATCCATACCATGCCATCCCATCCAATCCATTCCATGCGCATGCGAGCATCGCATCCATCCATCCATCGCATGCCATTGCCATGAAGCGCATCCATGCCATCGCATCCATGTTGCCATCATGCCATCATATCTATCCCCATCCATGCATCGCATCCATCGCATCGCATTCCTCCATCCATGCATCCATCACATGCGCATCCGCATCGCAATCCATGCATCCATCCATGGGCCATCCATCCATCGCCAATACCATCATCGCAATACAATCCATGCCATGCGCAATCCATTGGCCATGCCATTGAGCCAATCCATCCCAATGCCATGGCCATCCATGTCCATACCATCGCAGTCCACCATACCATCGGCAATCCATCCATTGCCATCCCATACGCATCCAGTCGGCAGTGCCATGGCCATCCATCCATCCATATCATCCATCCATGCCACATGCCAATCCATCGCAATGCGCATACACATCATCCATCCATGGCCGATCGCAAACCATCTCAGGCGTGCACTGGACGTTTTTATGCGAAATGACCCATACCGGTAACAAATTCAGTCTTGATTCAATGTAATAAACAAACTTAAAACAGCAAAGATATGCTGACTATATACAATTACGACTGTTACAAATTATGTATTATAGACTTGCAAAATTCGCCAGCTCTCTACCAATGCCAATGCGAATTATTATGATTGCCCATTTGTCAATATTGCCTCTCCCGCATTAATTGTGTTCACAGAAACACTGCTTCCGTGAATGGTATAATCTAGATTCGAAAGTAACTATCGTGACCTCAATAAACAGCTCATCAACATCGTTTTCAGCTCAGCTATTACATTATATATTATATATGTGTGTGTGCGTGCGTGCGTGCGTGTGTGCGTGTGTGCGCGTGTGCGTGCGTGCGTGCGTGTGTGCGTGCGTGCGTGTATGTGCGTACGTGCGTGAGTGAGTGAGTGTGTGTGCGTGCGCGTGTGCGTGCCTGTATGTGTATAATGTGCGTCGGTGCGTGGGTGCATGCGCGTGTGTGAAACGACCATATATATCAGCAGTGTGGATTCACGTTCGTTATAAACGCGTTGGCTGTTACAACTAGGGCACTAACCTTTGAACCTCCGAGGCGCTGGACGAGTTTTATTAGTCAAGCGTATAAAGCGCCGCCTGATACTCAACTCACTCAAGCTTTTCCAAGTGTACGACATACTTCTCACGTGCTTATCAATGGAACTTGCCGTAACTAGACTTCTCGGACAGCCCATGGAAATTTCAGCCCTTCCTGGTCGCTTGATTCTACTGTACAAAATTCAAACCGGCAACAAACAATTCACGATGCTACGATGGCGTGGAATGAATGATGCAGTATTGATGGCGTATCAACTGAATGAATGATTGCAAGTGAGTTAGGTAACCACAAGTGTTTTATTATTGGAAATCGGTGAAAATATCGGGCGAAACAGTCACGTATTGTGTTTTGCGAGCAATATTTCATTGTCTATGAATGTGTGGAATAAATTATTGTAAACACCAGACCACCTTCTAGAATTCAACGAAATAATTGATTGATTTAGTCCTGGTAGCCCCTAATAGCCATGTTCATTATATGCGCAAAATTTGGACAAACTGTCAAATACCAAGGCCAGTTTAGACTATGCATCAACGTGAAATTTTAACAGTAGCGAGTTTTTCCATGACGTCTATTTGTATTGTATTTAGCAATCAACTCGATATATTTCAGATTTTACATTTTTTATATGTTAGTTGCAACGATGATAATCATATTTATAAATTTGTTGAAATAAATAGGTAAAGCGAATTAGTAGATACACTTCCGTGTAGTATTCCTTTACGTGATTTCTTAATTTCTGATTGCCTATTATATATATACTTGCTTGACGTTATTTTAACGTAATTTTTGACGTTATCTCTGTATCATAAAATCATGCCTACAAATGTCATAACCTACAATTTTATATTTACAGATGATATAGTTTGTGTTGCTTTCAATCTATCTATCCATCCATCTATCTATCTATCTATCTATCTATCTATCTATCTATCTATCTATCTATCTATCTATCTATCTATCTATCTATCTATCTATATCTATCTATGCTATCTATCTAATTTATCTTAATGCATGCTAATCCATCTATCTATGCTAGCCAATGCTATTTATCTATCTCTGCTCTGTCCTCATCGTAATCTATAATTATCGCTATCTAAATGCATCTATCTATCTATCTATGCTATCTATCGTAATCTAGTCTATCTATACACCTACGTGTAGAGATCTTTTGTACTTTTCCAACTAATCTGCTCGCTCTCTCGGTCAAGCATGCACGTCTGCGCTCTCTGTCTGTCTCTTCTCTAATTATCTATGCTATCTATTATATTTTATATCTATCTATCTATCATAATTCTATGCTGATTTATGCGCACACACACCACAACACAGCTCACACACACCACACACAACACACACACAACACACACACACACACATACACACAGCACA